GCCTGCTCGCAGCGAGGGCCGCCGCCTCCGCCGCGCTGCTCCGCCTCCGCGCCTCGAGGCTCCCCGCCGCCGCCTCAGCTCTTCTTCTGCCCCGAGGCTCGGCCCTAAGTTTCAGCAGAACGGCAGGTTCTCGTTCGGAGTCCGAACGGCGCCCTGGAGACCAGCGCTCGGCGAGAGCTCTTGGAAATCCAGCTGCTGAAGCGGCGAGGTCCCTGTGCCCGCGGCCTGGACCCGGCCTTCCCGACCCCGCGCAGCGATGGCCCGCGAGTCCCGGCGCCCGTCGCTACCGCGGCCGTCGCCCTCGCCACCGCCGCCGCCGGGAGGGAGGGAGCGAGAGCAACGCCCGGGAGCCGCACTGGTGGCCAGAAGAAGCTTCGTGCTCCCGGCGCGCCGCCCCGCCCCCTCCCCCATTCACAAACCACGCCGGGGGCGGCCCCGACTCCCGCGCCGCCCAATGGCAGTGTCTGTTTTCTCCGCCGTCGCCTCCTGATTGGGTCGAAGTCTGAAGGGGCGGGCATGTGCGCGGGGCAGGCGGGGCCTGCAGTGCTCTGGGCGGATTCCTGAGGGTAGGGACTCGGGATGGGAGGGAAAAGTTCGGAAAAACTTTTACCCTGAGACCGCTCAAGGGGGAAAACGCACCAGAAAGGGAGTTTGCTTGGAAGATTTGTTCTTCTTCCGGGTGCACTCAAATACACATTCCTCAGCAGAGGGGCGCCGTCGCCGAAAGCCCTTGCGCGGGGAGGCGAAGCCCAGCACAACCCTCGCGGACAGCGTCCCCCGGGCTCGCGCGGGCGAGGAGGGACCCTCGCGGGTCGCCGTCCCCCACCCCCGGCCGCCCCACCCCCACCAGAGGGGGCGGGGCCGCGCGGAGAAACCCGAGCCGCTGGCCGCACGCCGGGGAGCGCGGACCCTGGGGAGGCCGGCGGGAGAGGCTCGGCTCCGCGCCCCCCGGGCCTGGGGCTGCTGAGGCCGGGGGTTTTCAGGGGACCCCGAGCTCCCCGGACAGCGAGGCCTCGGTCGCGCGCTGCTCTCACCTCCGCGGTCGGGCCGGGGGTGCCGGGTCCTTGCGGACGAGATCCCTGGACCCTCAGCCCAGAATCCGCGTTGGGAAGTTTGCGTGCGCGCTAGAAACTAGCGTTTGCTAGTCAAAGCTTTTTTACAAAACAGAGGGGCTGCTCTCGCTGTAGGGTTGCGATTTCTGCAGGCAGCTGTTCTTTTGTTCTCAGTCAAAGTTTCGCCCTCTTGAGGCGCGGAGCTCGCGCGCCCTCCAGTTCCTCCCGGCTGGGAAGCTAGCGGGGCCTCTCGGCGCGGGGCAGCCCGGAGGACCCCGGAGGACCCCGGATTCCTGTGCAGGAAAGCAGTGCGTTGAGGGAGAAAAGAAAAATCAGAATCAGGCGGGTTCTCCCGTCTGCGTCCTCACGCGCGCGCGAACATACACACCCGCACAAGGCGGTCTCACTCTTAAAAAACGTTGTACCTAGTCCAGCCCTCCTGCCTTCTCCGTTCAGGGTGCTGGAGCTCTGGGGGACTTCTGACCAGGGTGAAGGCTGACAGACGTTGCTGCCTGCGTTGTTCTGCTTCTCCAGCTGGGAAACAAAACTGATTCTGAAATCTAAGACAATTAGATTCCCTTCCCTAGGAGCCTTGGGCTGCTTCTGGTTTTCTTTTCTTTAGCTTCTGTCCCTGAAGTTTGCAGACAATCTACTTCCACTTCACGGTTCTTTGTCATTTCACACAACTGTTAATGGGTCTAAAGGGCTGCATCCCTTGGACCTGGATAGGGTGTCAGACTGCCCACATCTTCCATCCGGCCCTCAACGGGACTGTCCTCCTCCGAAGCACCATTTCCCCCTCACACCGGATCGCCCCTCCCTCTTGGAGTATCTGCCTTAAGGTAATAAAAAGGATCAACGATACGGCGTTTCCTTAAAAAGTTTTATTTTCTAAAAAAAATTTATTTTTTTAGAAAATAAAAAATAAAATAAAAAAATTTTTTTATTTTATTTTTTATTTTCTAAAAAAAATTTATTTTTTTAGAAAATAAAAAATAAAATAAAAAAATTTTTTTATTTCCTAAAAAAAAAAAAGTTTCCTTTTCTATTGAATTTTTCAAGATCTCCCTTTTCTCTTTCTAAATTATTCCCATTACCAATCATTTCCGGTATGTTGGTATTTCAGCACGCAGCTGTTTGTTTGAAAGATGTTGGTTATAGGTAAGGCTGCTCCTTTGCTTTGTCATTTAATGTGTGTGGTGGGGTCAGATTCCTTTTTTCTCTCCATGAGGTTCAGGATAGCTTCCTTTCCTAAATCAAATTTTCTTATTTATCAGGCCACTGATCGAAGTCATCTTGGCTTATTGAGGAAGAAATACCAAGCACTGTATCAAATAAAATGAAAACCCACAGGATAAAATACTATCTCAAAGATTCCTAAAACCAGTTCAGTTGATGAGCTTCTAGTTCTCATCTGGGATGACCCCAGACACCTCTCCTGTTAGATAATAGGGATAATAATGGGGGGGGGATAAAACATACAAGAGATAAGTGAAATATTTTACAATCAGTGTAGAAGATGTGAAAAACCCATCTCATGAAAAATATCACAGATGTGACCCCTCTTTGCTCTGTCCCAGGGAGATGAGGGTAAAAAAAGCTAAGAGGCAAAGGCAGATTTTTTTTGGAGATTGCTTTGTTTCAAAAGATAAGTTAAAAAGAAAAGAAAAGAACTCCTCAGCACTAGTGGGTGTAGCTCAGTGCTAACATGCTTGAGGCCTTGGGTGAGATCCCTACTACTACAAAATGAAGCAACAACAACAAAAAATTCAAACCAAAACACCACCACACACACCTTAATCCAAAATTATTCCAAAAAATAAGAATTCTCAGTTTGTGAGGTGGATGCCTTGTCTGATACAGATGCTACAATTTTAAGGAGCTAAGTAATAGATGGGAGTAGATCAGAAAAAGCAAACTCACCGTATAAGGAGCTAATTAGTCTGTTTCAGGCTCCATGACAAGCGCAGTAACTGATTTACATTCTGTCCACGATCAATTGAATTTCCTTTCCAATCAGCACCTTCCACACCCAACTCCCAAAGCTGCTTGCTAGTATCTTACTTGGAGAGCTAAGAGTGGAAAATTTTGTAACTGCTGCAAAACTTCTAATCATCCCTGCCCTATAAAATAACAAAGGTCTTTATTTCTTTACATCATAGTCATATGGTCCCACAGAAGAGTGATGCTATTCATTAGCTCTAGTTTTTCCAATGATACTTATTTTGGCTAAGTCCCAGGTTTATCTAGTTGAATTACATTCTAATGTGAGGCCAGATTTGAAAGTGGCCACAGCCTTGTGGTTGTAGTGCAACTCCAGCTGCAAGAATTTATTCACGCAAGACCAGAAAGGGCAGCTTTTAGCACATGCTTCTTTCTGTGGCCTCTTTTGCCAGACATTTTTGACATTATAAACCTGAGAACTTGGGATATCCAGTTGTAAGGTTCTCATTGATTTGTGTTCTTTTTTGTTTGGGTGCCAGATCATTCTTATCTCTAAAACACTTTCAAATGTTATGAAAGGCACAGATGTCTAAAGGGAAGAGGAAGGCCACATGTAGGCTAGGTTGTAGGCCTGTAGGTCGTGCACAACATCCCCTAGGTGTAAGCCACTCAGATATCTGGCATATAAAAACTGTTAGATGTTAATCTTGGAAGTGACATCCCATCACTTTTGCCATATTTTATTCATTAGAAACAAGTTGCCAGATCTACTTATACTCAGTGAGTAGCAGGGCATTATGCTAGAGTGATACCCCTGGAGGGTGAGAATTGTCGGGAGCATGGAAGCTGCTTACTACAGGGGTTGCCATTCCTTCCTTCCCAGAGTATTATGATGAAGAGGGCACAACAGGAAGCAACTCTGGGGTCTCTACCTTTGGGGAGTCTAGAGAACAGGCCACAGATAAAAATGCAGTGTTGACTGGTTATCATGCCCCTCGTATCTGTGAGAGCCTGAACAATACTCTGCCAGTTGTTTTTGTGAGTACATATCTTTGGACTCAGGGAAGTTGATTACTAAAAGATCATCAGTAATCCTGGGAGAAAAGCGCAGCAAACTTTCGAGTGTTCTCTCAAAAGCCAGAACGTCTGGACTAGTCTGCAGAATGGAACCTAGGCTCCCAGGGCTGGGAAGAGAAAGCACTGTGGGTGATTGCTACATATGATTTCAATCCCTGTGTCCAGGGCTGAGGTGGAGGAAGCTTGTACAGTGCAGAGGTGGTTAGTACAGACTGGTTTAGTTCTGCTTTTCACCATTGATTTCCTGTCGCGCCTGGGGCAAGTCACTTAACTTCCCTAGCTCTGTGGGTGTATTGTGAGAATTAATGGTGTAATATTTACAAAATGCTTTGTGATCCCCAGGGGAAAAAAAAATCACTAGGGAAGAATTCTGGTTTGGTTGTATAGATTCAAAGCATGGACATAAAATAAAAAGCTAAGTTAGCAGCATGTTCTGTGGCTCTGGCTGAGGTGTTTTTTTTGGTTTTTTTTTTTTTAACAGTAATATGCTGGTAAATGTTTAATAATGACTCTCGAGGAAAGAAAGCCCTGATCTATACATTTGCCAATTTTCATGGTGTAAATACTGCTACAGTGGCTGGTTTCTTTTTTGTTTTTTCTTCCCAGTGGCTGATTTCAAGCCAACAAGATGTCATGAGCCTGAAGTTGAGAAAGAAAAGTGCACTGTCAGCTCCAGCAGCCCTAAGAGCTGATGGCAGCAGACCTCTGTGTCCATGAACTGCTTCTGTTCAGATCACTCTGAGCATCAGAAACAGTTATATGTTCAATATACTGATGACCACTGATACGGTGTTGGATGGGTAGGTACAGTAGCTCTGCTTGTATGACAATCTTGTCAGGCTCAAGGTATAAGTTCCTTTTTTAAAAAATTTTTTTTCTCTTTTTTTTCTTTTTCTTTTTGTCTTTTTGAGACAAGGTCTCGCTGTGCAGTTCAGGCTGGTCTTGAGCTCACTTTGAAGCCCAGGCTGGCCTCGAACTCACAATGATCCTCCTGCCTCAGCCTCCCGAGTGCTGTGATTACAGGTGTGTGCCACCACGCCTGGCTCAAGTTCCTTTTTATAGTAGCCAAACCTGGACCAAAACTTAGATCTGTATAACATTTTTCACTTAATGTCTTCATGATAAACATGGCTAACTTTGGTTCTTTTCAATGTCTGATCAAAAGCCAAAGACAACCCAAAATTTAGAGAAACACCAGAGATATCAAACCTGTGTTAGCAATGACCTGCCAAATGTTGTCCATGTTTTACACCCAGTTGGAAGTGTCCTAACATTCCAAGTGGGTGTCCTAACACTTCCAAGTGGGTCTAACACTTCCAAATTATTCTAACTTACCAGGGACTGGTTTAGTTGTCATTACTGAAACTGTATTTCTAGTAGAGATCTAGATTAGGTGATGTGTGGCTGTACTCTTCATATGGTCAATCAGTTTCTTCCCTTAAGAGAAATTTGGGAGCCTCAACAGCACACAGGTAGGATGAGAAGGTGCAGGAACAAGACTCATAGTTGTGAGGAAGACCCCAGAGAATGTTGTAGAAAAGTGACTATAAGAGCTAGAGCGGTGGAAACCACACTTGGATGGTCATCAGGGTTATCTGGAGTAGGAAGGGAGAGAGGGAAGGGAAAGGAGGAAGGGAGGGAAGAGAAGAAGGAAGGAAGGAAGGGAAGAGGGAGGGAGGGAGGGAGGGAAAGGAAATCCAGATGCCTGAGCACTATTTCAGACATCTTGAGTCAGAATCTCTGCTTGGGCCTCAGGGATATAATCTTTAAACACTCACTTTTGATTCTTTTGAGTTAGGTTTGGGAACTGCTGACCTAGACTTGTTATGTGTGTCAGTGATGCTGGGTAGATTTCTCATTCTCTTGATTACATTTTTAAGTGCAGGATGGAAAGGAACTATAATGGAATACTGTGCCTGAGCATGAGGGGTGGATGAATATCTGGTTACATGGTGTGGTGCCAGTCGGACCTCATTTAGGGGCTCAAGTTCGCAGTGGCTATTCTGAAATGTAACAGCTGCTACGCCCACAGTTCACTTTGTAGCACTTCCTCAGACTGACATTGCCATCCTTGGACCACATGAACCCTAACCTCGGACACTGAGTCAGGAATAGATGCTGTGACCCGGCTCTGGGTTGTCTGGCATGAGACTTGTCCAGCAGGTGTAGGTATGGAGTGACCACCTGATTAGATCCTTTCCCTGGGGGAATCCAAGTGGCAGAAGCTGAGAAAGGAACCGGAAGACAGAAACGAGCAAGAAGCAGTGGAGGCTTGGAGGAGTGGGGGCTGTAGGGCAGCGAGGGGAGTAAACAGAGCTGTCAGATCATGGCGGCGGGGCAGCAGTAAGAGGTGTCTTTTGTAGTGGAGAAAGAAGAAAGAGAAAGAAGGCAGGCAGGCAGGGGAGAAAGAATGAATACCTGTTTCAAGAAGAGAAGACTAGGAAAAAGAGAAGGATGAGGAAAAGAACTGAGAGACCAGGTCACAATGGCTACATCCTTCCCTCATAGTCCTACACCACCAAGCCACTGACTGCCTGTCCCTTCCTAACGACTAGAGAAACCCCTACGACACCGAGTACAGGGTGTGGAAAAGGCTGAACGCTGGTCTCTCCTGACTTTCCTCTGGGAGGTGGGCCCGCAGCTGCAAAGGCTAAGCACAGGGTCAGCGCCAGCCAGAGCGACACCCACCCTGAGCTGACTGGTAAGGCTCAGGCTCGGAAGCACCTTCACCCTGCCCCATGGCCTGGATAAAGCACTGGAGAATATTCTTCCCAGGACGATAGTTGTCGCTGAGAATAATCTGCAAAAAGTGTTGCAGTACAGGAATTATGAAGGCCTAGGAGACGGCTTTCTCCTGGGTTGTTAAAGAAATAAATGTACTAGAGTGTATGCTGTCCTCAGCCTGATGTGGAGGCTGTTACTGGCCTCCGGTACCTTGACTCTTCTTCCACAGGGAGGGGGCCCCCAGTCTTTGGCCATACCTGTGGGTGACTGAGTGGGATAAAGATCCCATTTTCCAGCTTCTCCTATGGCAGCCACTGCGTTCTGACCTGAGATGTCAGGAAAAATGTATAAAATGTGAAGAGAGTGAATGTACTTCCTTCCCTCCGGATGACAGCTGGGACTTCAGAGGTGACTTTGGGAAAGGAGCAAAAGACAGGAGGGGCTGGGCTCAGGCTCAGGCTCAGGCTCAGTGGTAGAGTGCGTGGGGGCTGTGGGTTTGAGCCCAGGCACTGAAAAAAAAAACAATGAGAAAGGAGGAACTAGGGCTCCTGATGTGGGCCCAACCGTGCCAGCCTGGATGGACTCCCTTTGGGTTTATCAAATATGAGATAAAAATAGACTGGTTTTAGCCAGCATGGCGTGGGATTTCCTCTGCTTCACAGCCAATCCTAGCCAGGTTGTATCACAGTGTGGTTGGTCTACAGTGGACACTCAGGTGAGGGCTCCTTGTACTGCATTCTCCTGCGTATTCTAGTGGTTTGGTGTTTTCTTACCCTGCCTGTTTATTTGGAGTGTCCTGAGGATAGAAAGTGTGTCTTATATTTCTTCTCCTTTTTACATGATAGATGTTTTATTTGTTGACTCAAATTGTGCTGTTCATCAAAACAGGTGAAGTTCAGTGAAAATAAAAACCTATGAAGAGTAGAGATATAGGGTGGGAAAAGACCCAGAGACAAAAGAGGGAATGATGAGAGATCACAAGCAAATGCATATCACCAGTGCACTGCTATTGCTTTAAAAATGAACATAGATTTGGAATGCATAAATTAAATTAGGTGGCGCGAGGGAACTGGTTCGAATAACTCAAATGAGTTCAAAAGGTGATTCTCAAAGGGGGCTTGAGAGTGTCAGGAAGATTGAATTTTACAAATCTTGCTTCTTGGGTGCACCCCTGGGAAATCTGTGAAAGGCTTCTCATCCTGATGAGCAGCAAGACCCGAAGCGGCTGGCGAGAAGATACGGGGAGAAAGCTTGTTTCTCTGGGGAAAATGCTGAAGTCATTCCACCGGCTCGTCAGTCTGCCTGGCAAGGGATGTGTGCATTTCTCTCTCCAGAGGGTCCCTAGGAACCACGCACGGCAGCAGGGAAACGAGAAGAAGCCTGGGGTCTCCATCCAGCCTTGGCTCCCTTCTTGGGACCCCAGTCCCAGAGCCTCTGTGTCTTTTGGGGTGTCCCTCGCCTGAGCCAGGTCTGCCTGAGTGGGTCTCTTCCCAGAGCGCGAGAGCAGTGGTTTCGACACCCCGAGGGCTTCCTTCGGGACCACCTGGCCACCACTGTTCCTGCCTCACAATTCCACTCTGTCGGCTGCTCTCTCGCCCCTCTCCCGGCCTCCTCTCTGTCATGACAAACAGCACTTTAAACTCTAGAGCCAGGCTCTTCAATTAGGGTGTAGACAAAGTGGTTTGACTCCACTTGATTAAAAACTCTGTGAATGGGAGAGAACACAAACCTCAAAACATTTGCCTTTCAAAGCCTGAGGAGTGGGGGAGAGAAACTGTTATGTGATCTCAAATTTGCCAGATGTCCCTTTAAAGGGGCTTAAGAATTCCTAAGCCTTTGTTTACCAAATCCTTCCTTGGAACCTCTGGGAACCCAGGCTGCGGCTACCAGGTAGAAGAGGCCACTGAAAGGCCAAGCTTGGCTGGGAAGGGGCGGGCTGGTGGTAATGGTGGGAATCATCTGGATTTGTTTTTTTCCTCTTAATTACCTGGGGTTGCCCTTCGAGAAATCTGTCCTCTTAGCAGTTGGGAAATTAACCCTTAATCTCCACAAATGAGGGCAATCAACCCATTTACTAAATAAACACAGATCATTACAGACCGGCTGCCCCTCTTTGTGATTTAATTTGACAATGGCTTTACCTGGCTGGGCCAGTAACCTGGCGGAGTCCTCAGGCGAGGTGGCAGACGAATGAGGTGGCCAAGAGGCCGAGGGAGTGAAGCTAAGACTGAGGGAGAAGGCCTTGAGATTTCCATCCCACGAGAGAGTCTGAGTCCCTCCCTGGCTTGATCTTGCCTTCAGAATTGGTGTGCTCTGTTGTACAGGGCTAATTTTGGCTTTGAAAATGAAAAGCTGCTTAGAGCAACTTTTATTAAAATACTAGCTATCAGAAGCCTTGGGCATGGGAACAGAGAAACGCTTTTTTAGGTTGCTCTCTCATTGCTGTGTTAAGGAATCCCTCCTTGCCTGTCACCAGTTACTGTGTTTATAAGGAGTCAGCAGTGTGGTGGCACAGTTGTAATCCCAGCACTCAGGAGGCTGAGGCAGGCAGATTGCCAGGAGTTTTAGGCCAGCCTGGGATACACAGTGAGTTCAAGGCCTCCCTGAACTATATAGTGAAACCCTGTCTCAAAATACCAGGAAAAAAAAGTTGATTTAAATCCCAGGCGGTCACAGTGCAGTAGGATGTGAGGCCAGGCACATAGCAGGTGCTCAGTGTATGACCAAATGCATGAGTGAATAAGGTAGAGCTCAAGTTGAAAAATGCATAATAAAGCCATGCGGTTTTCATTTATTTTTTTTAAAAATGTATTTAGAGCCCACCAGATTTAAAGCTCTGTACCACAGACAGGGAACATATATCCCTGACATCATGGGTCTTATAGTGTTGATTAACAAATCAAGTAGTCTTCTGCAGTGACCTTCAGTTTATCTCATGATGATTATTATCATTACTTTGCAGTACTAGGGACTGAGACGGAACCTCACAAATGCTAGGCAAGCACTCCACACCTGAGCTACATTCCCAACCCTTTTTATTTTGAAATAGGATCTTGCTAAGTTGCCAAGGCTCTACTGAAACCTACAGTCCTCCTGTCTCAGCCTCCCAAGCAGCTGGGATTACAGGTATGCACCACCATACCCAGCTATTTCAAAATTTTAATGGGAATTGGCACTGAGCTAGCTGCCAGCCTATCCTGTGATTTAAGAAGGAAGAGCTGAGTTGGAGAATAGTGCCGGGATTTATTTTTCTAAAGGAACCATAGAACCCAGTAATTACTTCCTCTTTTTTTTTGGTCTTGTCTGTGCTGCAGGAGAACCCAGGGTCTCACACAGGCCCTCAGAGGTAGGTGCTCTACCACTGAGCTATATATGCCCTTACCCAGCCCTATTTTCCCAGTGAGAAAATTGAAGCCCAACATGGTGGTGTAAAAGTGTCAGTGGGCTGATGGGAAGAACTGGAAGTAGAATCCGTGTGCTTGGGTCCCTGGTCCCGCTTTAATGTAAGAACCATCCACATAATGGCCCAACTTTATGCTATTTCCTGCCTACCTCGAACTAGGAATAGCTTGAGTGCTCCAGAGTAAAAGATCAAAGTGGGTGGCCTTTCTGGGGTGCCTCAGGTGGCTTCTGCCGGGAGACCTGTATGTGGGAAGCCTGGTGAGGGTGGCCTCTCTGCCTGTTATCCCCTCACGGCTGTGCCTGGTCAGGAAGGGACTGGCCAGGGTGGCAGAAACCACCGCTGGGTCCAGTGTGACTCCACGGGCTGTGGAGAGACACGGCTGCTGCCACTGACTGCGCAGGGGGGCAGGCTGCTGGCCCTTCCAGTGGCCCAACAGCCTTGTGAAGAGCTGCTGCCTAAGCAGAGGGTCAGCAGGGCCTAGCGGGCAGTGGGAGAGGAGACGTTTAGGGAAGAGGTAAACAAAGTGACAGACTTCTCTGGTAAAAAAGGCTTTGGTTTACGCGAAACTTCACTCCTTTTCTTCCCTTAGCCTTAAATTACAAAGGTAATCCAGGCTCCAGGAGAGGCCCATTATTTTAAACCCCTACTAAAGGACCATATTGGTCTTGCTGTATTTTGACACCACTCTTGGTGATGTCCTGACTTAAATTTCAGCTAAACAGTAGAGAGTAAGCCAGCTGCCTCCAGGGTCTGCAATAGTTGTATCATTACTACTTTTGTTAAAAGCTGGTATTGATTTGATGTTCGCCATGGTCAGGTGCTGTGCTAAGCCCCTTCACCTACCCTACTCAAACCTTCCTCTTCACAATAACCCTTACGTGGGCCCAAATGCATATGCACCTTATTAATTTATGTTGCCATGTTGGGGGTCAAACCCAGGACCTGTGCATGCTGGTCAAGCAGCTCTGCCTCTGAGCTACACTCTAGCCACTCAAAGTGGCTATGCTTTATTCAATTCATGTTATAGATGGAGAATGCAAGGCATGGAAATCCAAGGCCATACAAGTAATGAGTAAAGGAACAAAACTTTGAATGCAGTTCTTTTGAAGAAGAAGGAGAAGGAGACGAAGGAAAGAAAAAAAGGGAAGAAATTTTGCCCATTCCTAATAGCATGACCTGAGCGTCAGGTCTGCCTGCCTGAAGAGAGACCCCAGAGAGTGAAGAGATGGGGTGAGCTTGTGTTTTCTGTGAAGCCTCTTGGGAGGGTAAATAGTCTGACCCTAGGAGGATGGGTCTCAAGACCTGGATGTCCGGGGACTCTGGATCCTGTAAAAATACATAAGATACCTCAGCAGTGAAAGCTTTTCCCATGAACTCTCTTAGTTTGGGTGTGTGGGGAACTCCTCTTCCCTTCCTTTAGAGAGGCAGTGTGAGAGGGATGCTTGAGGCTTTGAATCTTTGTTTGGTAACATTATCTATGAGGCTTTAAAAGACTACCTATCTTCTCTGGCCTCAGTTCCCTCATCTGTGAACTGGTAATGATGTCACTGGCCTTCTGAGAGTGTGAGGGTTAAATGAGATGATACAGTTACCCTAGTACTGTCATGCTGTAAATGCTCAGTAAAAGCCAGCACTATTGGTAATAGTTCAAAGAGGTGATTTAGTCCAGGAATATGGGAACTGAAGTCTCTGATTCTCAGAAGGCAGTCAGCCTGCTTTGTGTTCCGCTGGGAGTGAAAATGCTTTAAGGAGTTGCTGGGCCTGAAGAGAGTCATGCTTCCATTTGTGTATTTCCAATGAACTCATAAACGGAAGAGATGGATATTTATAAGTTGCTACAGACCACAGGAACTGCCAAAGAGCAAGGTTTCTTTTACAAATCTGGATGTTTACAGGCCATAGAAAAGATATTTTGGGCCTTCCAAGTTATTCCTACCCACTCTCTTTTTAGGCATAGGTCTTTCAGAACCAAGAATTGTGTTAAGTAAAAATGAATGAGGAAAAAAAGGAAAAAAAAAGAAAGAGAAACCTCTTTTTCATTCCTAGGCAATATTCACATAGAATGTTATCAACATAATTACTATCTTCAGAGAAGCTGACTTTTTGATGGAAAAGAAAGGGAGAAAACTGAAGTCCCAGAGGGTGTATTTAGTTATATTTAGTTATATTTTTCACCATGTTTGATTTTAGTTTTTGTTATTGTCCTGTTCATTTCTTTGGGAATACAAGCCAATCCGAATGCCCTACAGAGCACTTAGCCAGGAGGCTTTGCATCGAGTTCAGGGCATACTGCCCATATTCGCAAGTGGAAGGGACAGAGGCAGTTGTTTGCTGCATGACAAGCAGTGTCTTGACCGTAGTTATATTTCTCAGGAGGCTTCACACTGGTGGATGCTAATAACTATTTTTTGAATAAATAAGCTGTTGCTTTCTACCTTTATTTATTCTATGCAGCTAAATTTTTTTGGATTAATATATTTTTTTACTACAATCTCTGAAACTATAAACACTGAAGTTTGCATTTATACACATATGTAAAATAACAATTCCAGGAATTGAGTCCAGCTTCTCTCTTCCCTATTGTAAGCCTCTGTTGCGCTGGTTCCTGACCCTACTATAGCGACTTCCCCTTGGATAGAGTCTGCCTTACCATCTCTAAAAACAACCCCAAACAGTGAATTACAGTGGGAAAGTGCTTGCCTAGCACACACAAGGGCCCAGGTTTCATCCCCAGCCTGAAACAAAAACAAAAACTCACACAAACATCAATTAATTTAAAAAGTGCTGTTTTATGTTGTAGCAAGTAGAAAATGGTAGCCTATCTTTTATGACTTCTCTAAGCCAGTAAGGGCTTTGTGTACTCAGAGGCTTACAAATCATCTCACGGTTTAAAAACCTCAGATTCTTTTGATAAACATAAAAACCCTGATGATTGCCCAGGAAGCCTAACATGGTTTTCTCTACTTTTTTAGATGCAGAAATAGAGACTTACAGAGGCTGAATAATTTGCCAGAGATCATCGTGCTTGTGACTCTCAGGACTGGGGTTGGAACCCGGTGGTGGGGCTCCAGAGTGGGAGGCGCCAGTTGGCCATGGACAAGTGTCAGGTGTGGCATTGGCCAGTGAGCCGCTCCAGCTGGGGAGACCGCGCCTCTGCCTGAGATCCAGGATTATCTTTAAAGGTTGCCATTTCATCTTTAAGACAGCTTTAATTGTTAGAAAGTCCTTCATAGTATTGAACGGCAATCTGCCTCCCTGAAGCTTCCATTGATCTTCACAGTACACACTTTATCCCTCTTTCCTACAGCATCCCTCAGATATATGTATACTACCATCCTCTTCCTCCCCCACGTCATCTGTGGGAACATGGGAAATGGGCCCCTCATGCCTCCAGGTCTCAACAAGGCTGAGGCCAAGAGGAGGCTGGATGGAGCATAGGAAGGAGGCAGACGTTAAATTAGATATCGCAAATAGCTCCTGGGCAGTGTTCAGAGTAGGGGACAAAGGATTCCCTGGAAACCAGTGAAGCGTTCTTACATCTCTAAATTGTATTCATTTCTGTAACTCAGATATCACTATGAAATGTAATCAGCCCTGAAAGTGGGGAGCACAGTGGGATAGCAGTGACTCCAGCCCTCTGATTCATAGCTGCATCTTTGGAATAGGGACTCATACACAAACAATTAGCATGAGACCCATAAGGGCATCAGCTCAGGGAGGATGGAGGGCTGAATGGGATGCAAAGAGCTGTGACAGAAATGAGGAAGTGATGCCTGCTGGGTGGGGATGACAGCAGACCCCTGCTAAGTGCAAGGGGATAAATGAGTGTCTTGGACTGGATATGAAGGAGCTGGAAACAGACTTTTAAAATATATCCTTTCTGGCAATTGCATTGCAGAAACTAGAATGCGTAAGAAAGTTGCTGGGTGGGTAGTAAAGCAATCTGGGCTGGCTCTCTGGGGTGAGCTCAGTCAAGAGGACTGAGGACAAGCACCTCTGGCCATGATGCTGAGCCTGCCTCTTCTGCTTCCCCCTACACCATGGCTCCTGATGGGTGGATGCCTCCCCCCAGTCCCCTGAAACCTCAGGGCTGAGTAGCTCCAGAAGATCCACAAAGTAGAGAGTCCCAAAACTTGGTAGAACCAAATCCTGACCTTCAGAGAGGCAGCAAAGACCGCCAACAAGAACGATGCCTTTGTTGTGCTCAGATGCATGTGTTTGCGCATCTGTCCAGAGCTATGTGGGCCAGGCCCCAGGCCGGTCCCTACAAGTACAGAGGTAAACAAGATCAGCTCAGTTAGTCCCCACACTGAACCATTCAGAGTTCCTGTGCACCTACTGTGTGCAAGACTCTGTGCTAAAATACCTGGTGTGAGGCTCTTAATGTCCCCTGCTCCTTTGAGGGTTTTTAGGAAGGAGATGTGGAAGGTGAACACTTTCTGTGCTGTTGGAATGGGATGCTGTTGGCCAGATACTGGGACAACACATGCTGGCTGCCTCCATGGAAATGTGAGGTACACAGCCATGGACAGCTCCACAGAGGAACCCCTCTCCCCAAAAAAACCCCACCCAACTGGACAAATTCCCCTTTGTCTAAATCGGGAGACAGAGGGGAAGTTCAGCCCTGTCAGTATCAGCCATCCTCTGGAATCTGGGGCCAGGCCTTTGAGCAGACAGGCATTCCGAATCCTCAGTCTCTCAGCAGCGCCTAGCAATTATCATAACCTGACAACAGACCCATCAAGATAAGGTCCTAATGGCCTCTATGGCTTCCCTTTCTTCCCCAGCCCTTCTTTATTGCTCTGCAGGCTCTGCTTACTTCCAGCAGGGAAGAGTTTAGAGCGTGGGGCTAGGCCAGCCCTTCTGCAGGCAGCTCCCCGAAAGGCAAGGCTCATGGAAGGCTCAGGGGACAGAGGCATTTCCCTTTAATAAGCTTCTCACACTACATTAAAGATAAAAGAGGAAGGGAAATATTTATATTCTGACAAAGCAGCTCTTCCCTTCAGGCTCTTGTTTTATTTATTAACTTGCTCTGTCCCTCTCTCAATCTCTCTCTTTTTCTCTCTCTCAGGGGCTAGGCAGTTATGGTTCGTCTTTCTTCGGTCACTAATGTTGTGGGTAAGTGACAATGACAGGGGACTTTAGAATGCTGTCAAGGAGATGGGCTTGTACGTCGGAGCGCTTCCTAGGTGATACAAATAGCTGTTTCTCTATTCTCCTAGGAGCTGTTCCTGCTTCCCACCCTTACTACGCAGCGCTTGAGTGGCAGGAAGTTTTACACTGAGGAGCTCCTCCATCTCACTAGAAGCTGTGGCCACTCACATGTTGTTCAGAGGTACAATTACCAGGACGTGTGACTCTGTGCCTGGGACCTCTTGGTCCTCTTGGATTTTTGCACATTTTCTTCTCTCACCCTTAATGAAGCTTATTTTTTTTTTACCAGTGAATCCTTTTCATCCTTTTGCAATGATTATCATTAAAGTTCCAAACCCTCTAATTGTTCCAAAGCCTGGGTAGGTTGTTAAAGAGTTAATCCTCTGAACCCTGCCCCCCAACACTCACACCTCCAAGGAGGCCGCCTAGGTTAGTGGAGGGAGGAGCAGGGATAGTTTAGGCTCTGCTCTGTTGGCTTGTATAATACCTGGCTTCCAAAATGGCGTATGATCATCAATTAAAAATTCAAGTACAAGAAAAGCAATAGATGACCTCCATACCCCTTTGTGGAGAAGCAATGAAGGGGGATATTTAAATGCACAGGCTCTGCAGACCAAACGATTTGGCTTCACTCCTAGTGCTAACATTTATGTGACTCTCGAAGGTACCTGCGTCTCAATTTCCTTACCTACAAAGTAAAGAGATAATAAGTAATAGCTGCTCCTTAGGGCTTTTATGAAGGTTAAATTTGTAGATAGATGATAGTACTTAAGATAATGCTTAACTCATAATGAGGGCATAAGAGTTAGCTATTGTTAATGCTACCATCCAAGAGCAACCCATGAATAACATTCGTCTGTCTCAGACATGTACAATACCCAGATATGTACCGAAATAACCAATCAGTAACACACATATATCCCAGAAGGGTACATATACAGAAACAATTTTATAGTAACACGATCATGTTATGCATGTTGTTAAAATAATAAAAAGCATTTGGTTTGGTTTTGGCTGAACTTAACAGAAGAAGGGAACTAAGGTGAAATTAATGAACTTCAAATATTAATTCTTGAATGGCAAGACATACTAGTTCCTAAAATAGCATCCCAAGGTTAGAAAACAAACACTTGATGACAATCAGTGGAGAGGCTGGTGGGTTAGATTGGTCACCTGATGGCCAGGCGATGAGATGACTTAGTACTCTAAGGCTTCTTCCAGTATCCCAGTTTTTGATGCGTCTATGATTTTTAATATGTTTGGGTTTATAGCATCTACATTTGATTTGCATCCATTTATTTCTCCGGGGGCTTCGTCCTCATTTTATATTTAATTGGATTCAGTGTTTACTGCTAGTCCTCTTATGGAGACTTTCACGTTACTAATTCTCTAATTTGGCCAGTTTCTTCACTGGCTTTGTTTTTCCTCCTGCACTGGAAAGGACTCATGGGCACTTCCTCCCCCAGGCCCTTTTACAGTTCAGAATGTTTGCCTTCTGCCTCTGCACGGAATGACCAGTTGCCAAGGGCTGGATTCTTGAGCCCTTTCTCTCTTGCAAACCCTGTGTCGTTCTTCCCTGACCTCCTGGTGTGGGGTGTTGCTGTTTGGAAGGATGAAGCGAGGCTTATGGGATCTCTTCGTTGGGACCTTGGTTTTCTTCTTGGAAGGGTGGTGAATTCTTGAGGTCTTGTTAATGGATCTGTATCAAAAGTTCCTAGGTTAGCATGGGCCCTTTCCACCCATAGATTCAAGTGTTCTTATTATGATGTCAACTATTTTTTGTGTTCTATATTCTCGGCCTGGAGAAGGGAGCTCCCTGGGCACAGAGTTTACCTCCCCAGGCTTCACATCGCCTGGGTGCGAGTCTACATACTATTTTTTGCTAGTTATGCACCCTTGGGCCAGGCACCTGATCTCTCTGAGACTTACTTTCCTCACTTGCAACATAGGAATAGTCATTTCATGCACTGTAAATGAAGATTAAATGAACGGCAGGTGATTAGCACATTATAGTAAGGGCTTATTAAATCTTGGCCATTATTATGGAAATCCTTAAGTCTTTAACCAAATCATAAGCTTGGTGGGAAAAGGTATTGTATCTTATTCCTTTTGGGTGCCTCATGGATAGTAAAATGACTAATGTGTGGGTGTTTTTATTGTATCAGGTTGTATTTCATTGCAAGTAGCAGAAACTCAAACTGGCTTAAACAAGGGGTGGGTGGGCTACAGTTTGTAGGTCAAATCCAGCCTGCCACCTGTTTTTGTATAGTCATTAAACTAAGAAAGGTTTTTATATGGTTGAAAGACACAAAAGAAGAATATCTTGAGAAACTTGAAAATTATATGAAGTAAAAATGTCCATGTCTATGAAAGAAGTTTTACTGGAACGTAGTCACCCTCACTCATTCACAAAGGGGTGTGACAGCACTGGCAAACTTTTTCTGCATAAGGTCAGGTAGTGACTATTTCAGTGGCACCTGCTCAACTCTGCCGCTGTAGCAGAACAGCAGGCATAGGCAGTGACTCAGAAGAGACTGAGGACAGCAAACCAGGGAAAAATGGACTCCTAGTTAGGGAGCCGGCTTGCCTGGAGTCTAGGTGTGTCTAAGCAACTGATGCTAGAGTTTCGGTCAAAATTGCTTCGCTGGGTCTGATTTTCTGAGAAGAAAAAGAGTTGGACTGGATTCTGAAGACTTCTTTAAGCTTTAAAATTTTATGTCTTATTTTGGAATTCCAGATTAATAACCTGGATCTATTCTGAAAGTGTATGTTGGAATTGGAATTCTTCAATTGCAGCAGGGCATGGGGGCCCACATCTGTACTCCTGCCACTCAGGTGGCTGAGGCAGGAGAGTCACCGTGGGTTCGAGGCCAGCCTGGGCTGCACACTGAGTTCAGGACCAGTGAGACCTTGTCTCAAAATAAACAAGCAAACAAACACTTCAATTGTAGACAAGAGAAGTCAACTCTAGTTAATATAAGCAAAAAGATTTTTAATGTAAGGAAGTGCCGGCAGGCAGATTTAAAAGGAAATTAGAAAATACAGGCTGAGAGGACAGGTGTCAGGGCAGATTCTGGAGTCCAGGAAGCAGGAGCCCATGGATAATCTCTCCAGGGTACCACAGTCTTGGGTGACCTCTGGCCACCCTCAAGAACAATTCAGGATTGAAACTCTGATGTGATGTTTTTAGCCTGGCTTAGATTTGTATAGAGGAACCACCTGATCAACAAGGAGCAACAGTTCCCAAAGACAGATGAGGAGCTATGACTAGAAGAAGGGGGACTGCGTGCTGAGCAGATAAAGACAACAGAGGCCAACCACGGTGAAGCACACAGTTGATGAAAGGGCAGGCCTTGTACCCTGAGGAGCACCGGAGCACATACCGGTTCCTGAGTCATTTGCTCATTTGGCAAATATTTACAGACCTGTGATGGCGTTTTGAAGGACACCAAAGAATTATACTGTAAGACTGCTGGGAAGAGGTGCTTGGATTTTGCTCGAGAAGACTTGGGAACGGAATTGTTTTCCCTGTTAATTTGAATCATTAAACTCTATCAGGCATGTGCAACTGCCGCTCATTCTAGGAGAGATGTTAAGTAATTCTCTAATTATATGTGTCATTACACTGGAGGCGGAGAAAGGATCCTGAGACAAGTGACTTCTCTCACATGTCAAAGGGCAGAGCTAAAAGCAGGACTTGGCTTCCTGGCTTGAGTAACTGTTCTGGATCAGGTGCCTAGCAACCATGGCCCCAGTTCAGGAGCTGCCACCCCAGAGGAGCCTCAGCACCTGGCTCCCCACTAATCGGCGCTTCTCAAGGGCGGAGACTGGATTTGTTCCTCTGTCCTCAGGACCTCGCATGATCTGGGACATAAGGCAGACCGATACTAAGTGAAGAGTCCCTGCAGCGTCCCTGGAATAAGTTGAGGTATACCTACCTTAGATGAAGACCCAGGCTGAACAGAATCACTGCCAGGGGGCTGGGGATTTAGCTCAGCGGCAAAAGCGCCTGCCTGGCAAGCGCAAGGTCGTGAGTTCGGTTCCCGGTACCGGAGAAAAACCAAA